GCGCGGAGCGTCGGGACGCTCCTGCCCGGCCGCGTTGGACAGCAGTTTCTTTCCTTTCCTTTTGGAATTGAGACGGGGTCTCGCGGCGGCGTCCAGCCTGGTCTGCAGCGCCGGGTCCTGCCTCGGCCCCCGCAGTGCCGGGATTGCGGGCGTGAGCCTCTGCGCCCGGCCTTGGCGGCCGTTTCGACTTGTCCTCTGGGCTTAAATATCCGAGCTGGGAGGGGAGGAGCGAGTGAATTTTCTCGGCCGCCGGAGGAGCGGGAATCGAGGAGGGAGTGAGAGAGGGACCGGCTCTTCGCCAGCGTCTTTCTCCTTCCAGGAGCCCTGCTCCCTCCAGCCGGGAGAGGTGGCGCTTCCTGCCCCGTCTCCCGCGGCCTCCGTTTCTGCAGAGTGTCACTGCGCTGGCTGCTTCACAGGCTTCTGTGGGAGTGGGTTTTTCTAGAGTGTGGCAGAAATAAGGCCAAGGCCAGGTGTCGGGAGATGGCTCTTGCAGTCGATGTGCCTGGAAGGGGGAAAGGCGAAACGAGTTTTCTCAGGGGGTAGCTTCTGCTGAGGTGAGAGGGTAGAGATTTAGATTTGAATAGGATTGCCCTGTTCTTTGTGCCTCATTATAGGAAACTTCTCCTGGGTGATTCCACTGCTAGTTAACAGTTCTAAAGATGTGCCTCTTGTCAACCAATTAGGAACTTTTTAGTTTGACATCTGTTGCTGCGGGCTTCAGGTGACTGCTTCCTGACTAGGAATGGGAAATGAGGTGGGGGGGTATTTAATATTCAGGTAGACGAGCTAAGAGCTTAGGTGGTTAGCATCCCTCTTCTAGGACCAAAGTGCCTGCACAGTTGGGGAAAATCAGAGATTGCTAATTAAACTCTGATTTTACAGGTAAAACTGAGGCCCAGACATAGGGAGTGACAGTGCCAGATATACACAGCGCCTCAGAGGCTGGTTACTTTCTTAAACACAATATCTGATTTACTGCCAAACCCCATGCCTAAGTCTTCATTAAGTCTCTAATAAGTAAATCTTTAAAATCTTCCATGTCCTTTCTTCAGGCTTCCCTCCGACTGCCAGTCTTTTTTTGAAGTTAGTTATAATGATACATTTGCAACTCTTGCGTGTACAGGTGCTCTTTTTAGGTGTTTGGGGGTGAGTTCGTGGCTTTCTTATAAATCTCTGTCAATGAGTGCACAAATGGAATTCATCTGAGAGCAAACCGGCTGGACATCAGGGAGTACTGATTGAGTCACATGTCATGATGAAAGGCTGAATTCGGGGACGGCATTAGCATTCCCAAAGGGTAAGGCATGAGGGTCAGAGGCAGATCACCCGCAGTTTGTTTCAAGGTGTTGTGGAGTCATTATTTCTGAAAGGGATTCTGTTTCATTCTCACAGGCTTGGGCAGGAATTCAGTTCCAAGTAACTGGTGTGTTGCGCGAACTCTTAGCTGTTGCAGAAAGTGGAACCGGAAAAAAGCACTAGTGCCTTTGCTACCAGCCTCCTGTCCCCACCCTACTCCTGAAGGCCACTGAGCTCTGGAATCTCTGAAAGCCAGCATGTACTTGAAAATGGTTAAGGAGAAGATGATTATTTATCTTGTAAAAGAGTCTAGCAGAGAAACTTCTTAAATAACAGCACCAAAAATCCAACTCAGGCTGACTAACTCATTTTATGTAGACATTGGCAGTGTTCTGTGGATTCAGTAAGATCTACCGTACTTGCAACCACTCCTCCCTTTGACATCTCTGCTTTTTTTCTGGATGGAGTAAAAGTTGAGAATAATATAAAGAAAAATGTTGGGGTGGGAAAGGACATGTGCCAGGGGTCAGAAGACCTGGTGGCCTTGGCCAGGCCATTTCCTCACCCTGGAGGGCTTCATTTTACTCCTCTGGAAAGTGAGATTGGGGCCCTGGGCTTGTGCTAGTGACTGCTAAACTCTCCGCAGCTAAGATTCTGTGATCCCAGTGTGCTGCCTTGAAGTCTCCCTGCCAGAGCTTCAGGAAGCCTGCTCTGCCTGTGGTTCTCCCACCAAGTCCGTCACTCTGTGGCCTTAAGGAGCAGTATAGTCTCCAAGTTTCCATGCCAGCCTGGCTCACACAAAGGCTAGCTTCCTCTCAAAGTAGAGTGTGCTTTGGTGTGCTTGCCTCCTGGAAGAAAACATGTCCAGTAGCATATACATCGACTAGATGGGATTCTTTGGAGCAGTGGCACGTGCTGTGTTTAAAGGTTCTTTGACAGTTGAATCTGGCAAACCCATCCCAATGTGTAACCATGTGAGTGGTGGCATTTACTGGTCTGAGTCCCCCTTAGGTATGGGGGACTGCCTATGTTGATTCACCAGCATTTATTGAGTACCTGCTGTCTACAAGACACCATCGGAGTATAAACTTAAAGCTGCTCATGACCCACTAATCCAACCACATGAACGTGATCATTCATCTAAGTAAATAAACAGTTTGTATGATTTTCTTCATGAAAAGGGCTGAATTAATTGATGCTGATTTCCTGCCAACTTACTTGTATCTCTAAGGATTTAAGGAATAGACTGAAATTCAGAAGTCTCTCTAGAACATTTGTGCAACATCTGTTTCAGTGTCAACAACTTACACAGGCTTTCAGTTTTTGCAGGGTCTGGAATGGTTCCTCCAGCCAACCCTGGAAGAGTCTCCACATCCTCGCCTCTGTTGCCCCCTCACTAACTAGTGTGCCTCTAGCCTGCATTAGAAAATCCACAGTAGCATTTACCTGCTTTTCTTTGGCTCTACCTTGTGACAGCTTCCATATCTCTTTCCACTTCTCTTTGTGGATCAGATGTGAGGTAATGGAAGAATTATAAATTGGCACATGGAAATAAAGTTTTTCAGGTATTGTCAAAGTAAAAATAGGATGTCCCACATGCCATGACCACAGTCCCAGCTTTCCTCTTCCCAGGGCAGTACATTCCAGCCCGCTGTCAGATCACAACCCCTGCAGGTCTTGTCTGAAAATGTCATATCGCTCCCTGCTTCAAAAACCATGAGGGGCTCTGACTTGTCTGAAGGAAAATCTAAGCTGTTCTCATGCCCCTGGCCCCTGAGTTTCTCATTATGCTCCGTAAGGGTGTTCATTGCCACCCTGCGGACACTGTGGACCCCAGGTCTCCTCAGTCACCCCGCCATCCTCTCTGGAAGCTCTGAGTCTTAGCTCTCCCTGCCATCTGGAATGTTTCCTGTCTGCCTACAAATCCTCCTTTGGTCAGGACTCTTCACACCGACCATCCTACTTGCAGGAATCTCTTCTTTACTGAATCTGTGCCACTTATTGTCTATCCCACTCGTGGAGACTTGGTAGCACCCTGCCAGCTGCATGGGCGTGTTCTCTTCATGGGTGTCCTGTGCTGTAGTTCAGTAGTGAGCGCCTAGAGGTGATGGCTGCTCTCCAGTGCTGTGCAGCGGACAGAGCCCCGTCATGGGGCAGGTGCCTGTTGCTGTCTCCAGAGAACCGCCGGCTCTGACTTTGCTTTCCTTTCCATCAGGTAAGGCACCTTTATATCTGCGATTTCCACAAAAATTTCATCCAGAGTGTTCGAAACAAAAGGAAGAGGAAGACAAGCGACGATGGTGGAGATTCCCCTGAGCACGACACTGACATTCCTGAGGTAAGGCTCAACAAAGGCAGCAGGAGAAAACTGAAAGGGTCACTTCTACACTGATCTCTCCTCTGGCCTGGCCTGCTTTTTGTGCTCTGGAGTCATTTTAGTCCCCTTTGTTTTGCTTTTTTGGTTTATTTGAAAAGTGAATCATTGGATCTGAGAGTGAAAAGCTTGGAAAGCAACTGGTGTGACTGCCCATCATCTTACAGATGGGCACAGAGATGCGTGTTTGGAGGCTGGTCTGGTTCCCTTCCCTATACCACACTGTCTCTCTCCACAAGGTCCTGACAGATTCTTCAGTACAACCACCATGTCACATTTTTAAAAACTGTGTTTTTGCCTTTAAATGTAGAGACTGGACCAAAAACTATTTGTACATCCTAAAGTTATTGAAATTAAAAAAAAATTTTTTTTTAATTAAAAATAAATAAGTAAAGATAGAGAAGACTGAGTGTGTGTGGTTTGGGGGAAACCTCTTGCCCTGCTTTTTCTGGTGTAAGATGAAGGTGTAAGTTGTCAGCTCCCACCAGCTCTGGTTCCCTGGAGCTCTGGTTCCCTGAAGCTCTGATTCCTTGACTCCTGGCTTGGTTCATTCCCAAGGATCCATTGAGTCGGAGTCTCATTCTGTCACCCAGGCTGGAGTGCAGTGGCACGCTCATGGCCACCACAGCCTCAACCTGCTGGGCTCAGGTGATCCTTCTGCCTCAGCCTTCCAAGTAGCTGGAGCCATTGGCATGTTCTGTCCCGCCCAGCAAATTTTTGGCTTTACTGTAGAGATGAGGTCTCACCATGTTGCTCTGGCCAGTCTCGAACCTCTGAGCTCAGGCAGTCCTCTGGCCTCCACCTCCCAAAGTGCTAGGGTTACAGGCATGAGCCATGGCCCCCAGCTAGGGTCCATTTCACAAATCGGTTCTACTGGGCTGGGCTTTCTCAACCCTGGCACTATTGACATTAAGACCAGATAATTTCTTGTTGTGGAGACTGTCCTGTGCATTGTAGAATATTTAGCAGCATCCCTGGATTCTACTCCTCAGATGCTCGTCACACCACCTCCCCCGAGTCATGACATCAAAAGATCTCTTTAGGCATTGCCACACATCCTTTGGTAGACAAAATAGTTCCGTGTTGAGAACCCCTACACAAGACCTCAGCTGCTCAAACCAGAAGGCTGTCTTCCCTCAAGGTGCCAGTGTCTACTAAGTGAGGCTTCAGGAAGGAATATTGGATTTTCTTTCTCCCTAAATTGTTTTCACTTAAGACTCAGCAAAAGAAGAACCGTTTATAGTGTACATTGAATATTTGACACATGAATATTTCATAAGGCAACCGCCTGTTAGCACTCAGAGTGAAAATGACTGTGTAGGAATAGAAGGAGTAGGCGGGCCTTTGTCTGCAGATGTGGAGGAAACCTTTGAAAATCCAGCCTTTTCCTTGGCCCCTCCCTACGTCCCCTTTTCCGACACTGGTTTGCCATCACTTGCTGTTGCCTCTAGCCTTGTTATTATCTTATAAAGAAATGGATGTATTCAACTTCCAAATGCTTTTCGCCAAGAAAGAAAAAGGATTTGAGGAGTGTTTTGGGAGGAATGGAGGACCCTGGCCCTCGCACGATCACGCATTTGTGTTTAAGTGCTCTCTACCTGCCTGGAGCAAGAACATCTCTTTTAGAGGCAGGAAAGATAGCCCAACCTGCTGGGCCTTCAGGATGTCTTGAGTGGGCAGCTCTCTTCTGTTTCTCTGTTGGAAAAAAGTGGGGTCCCTTGCTCTCTGTTACCTAGTCCTCTGCCGAGACCCCAACCCTAACCTGCGTGTGTGCCTCACTACAGCAGCTCACACACTTCCTCGTAGTATTGTTAAGGATTCTGACACCTGCAGGCTGAACCGGGCGAGAACTCGCTGAGGACAGTTCTTTCCACCGTCCTCCTCGAACCCCTCTCCAGCCTGCCACTCGTTCCGACATGTCTTCCTCCAGACTGTCCTCTGGTGTTGGCCTCTGCTCTCTCCTTGACGTCCCCCTGGCATCATCCCCTCTAGAGCTCAGCATCACCACCTCATTGCTGACCATCGCCATAGCATCTCCCTCTGTATCCCCCACCAGCCTTCCCCTTGCCCACAGCCACCCCGGTCCGTCCCCTGAAACACCACCCTCTCTGTTCAGCTCCTCTTCTTTAGACATGCTGCCTCCCGTCTGGCCATTTGCACCCATCCGATTGCCTGTGACCCCAACCAGCCTGCTTATCTCTCTGCTTTCTGTGCTTCTGATCTCCTTCCTCTGTTCCTCACTGTCCTCCTAGACCCCCCCTCTGTAGCTTAGGTCCTCTCCACCAGCCTTCCAAGATCAGCCTGCCCCAGCCAGAGCTCTTTCTCCACTGTTACTTATGCCCTCCCCAGCCTCACCCCTACCTGGTGAAGTGCTAGGTGCATAATGGGATCTCGGTGAGACCTGGTTGTTCAGGTGGCAGATAACATGTTTCTCTCTTCTCCCTAGGTCGATCTGTTCCAGCTGCAGGTGAACACTCTACGGCGTTACAAACGACACTACAAATTGCAGACCAGACCAGGCTTCAATAAGGCCCAGCTAGCAGAAGTAGGTAGATGAGATTGCCCTCTCAAGACAAAGCCAGCACTGCTTCTGCTGGTGACCCTGATCCTCCCTTACTGCTGTGTGTGTCTGCTGACTGTATTCTCCTTCAGAGTTCTGGAAGCAACTCTCTATTCCTCGTCTGCGTAATTTAGAATTCCTCAGCTTTAGACCTGGAAGGGTCCCAGTTCCAGAAAAGAAGCCACAGCCTGAACAGAGGACGGGACACAGCAAGTGGATAGTAGAATTGGTCTGAGACCCCAGGACTCCTGAGCCCAAGTCCTGATTATTCTTTTGTTTGTTCATTTGCATCAGTTTTGCAAGACTCTTTATAGATTAGATCCTTTCTGCATATCAGGTGTGTCAGATCAGTCCTCTCCAAACCTTCCTAATGTTCTGCAGGAGTTGTTTCTTTGTTTGTTTTTTCCTTGACTCCTTCTACTCTGGTGTCAGCAATAGTGTTTATCATCAAAATGGCACCCAAGAAAGTTTTCTCCTGTCCAGAGCTATTAACACAGTTCAGAGGGAAATGCTCCATTGACCACATTTGAATGTACTACATCCTGGCTTGATGCTTCCGTCCTTAGCATTAGTGTGATGTTCTCATTCCCTCTTTTATTAATGAAAATTTGGACAGTGGAGAAAAGAAAAATACAAGTCTACCATCCAGAGATAACCACTCTTTATTTCTAATTCTCTGTCTTCTTTTATCTGTTTAGCTACTGCATTCCACTTCTCTGATTTCCTTAAAGGCTCACAGCCTGATCTGATCCATCATTTTTTTCTAAACTTCTCCATCACCAGTGTTTGGAGGAAACACAGGAACACACAAGCCCCTCTTACTTTCAGATAACAGTACCCACTTGCCAGTACTCACCCCAGGCGGAAAGGACAGGTCAAGGTGGGGCAAGAGGAGACCTGCATTCTCAGGACTCATAAAATACAGCAAGATAGCAGGAATATGTAGTGAATGATGAGTTTTCCTCCCAATCCAATGTGTCTTTGAAGAGGCAGTTTTGTACTAGTTAGAGAAATTCTTGGGTTCGGACACTTGCATCTGCTCATTGGCTGTTCATTGGATGCCGTCTTTAAAGGACACATTTCGGCCCCGTTCCAAGGCCTGAGAGGCTTGGTAGCAGCTAGCGACCAGTCAGAGCAGTCCTGATCTTTTCCACCACAGGAAACCACGAAGCTGTGCAGTGATGGATGGTTGAGCTAGAACTGCCCTTGATAGTGCTGGAGGTTAAAGAGCCGCGTGGGAAGCCTGGAAACCCCCCAGCCCCCACCCCCGAGGAAGGGCACTCTGAGCTCTGCAGGCTGCAGGAAGGCCCTCGGTGGTCCTCACTCCCCCGTGGTGGTCCTCAATCTCCCGTAGCACGGGCAGCCACTCCTGTGCGCCCTCTCTGGCGTAGCTTAGAATTTGCGTCCCAGTTTCTGCATGATTTAAGGGACTGTGTTTCTCCCCCCCCATAGACTGTCAGCCGACACTTCAGGAACATCCCTGTGAATGAGAAGGAGACCCTCGCCTACTTCATCTACATGGTAAAGAGCAACAGGAGCAGACTGGACCAGAAGGCGGAGGGCAGCAAGCAGCTCGAGTGAGGACGGGGCACAACTTACGGGAGCCAAGTGTCAGGCTCAGTGCACAGGTGACATCTGCTACACTTCAGCTCAGAAGGACTGTCAAATTTTATTGTAAATAAAAAGTTTGAATGATGAATACTGTAAATCTTTTGGTCAGGAGGATTATATTCTGATGATTCAGCATGTGTATAGAAAGACTTTCCTTGACGATAACTTCTGGACTGAAAAAAGCAGGACCATAAAAAGAATGAAAGGAAATCTATATGGCAGCATTCAGTAAAGTATTAAGTCAGTGTGTGCTAAGAAATACTTTGGTAGTCATATAGTCAGCTCATGATGCCAAGCTGCCACATTAAGGCGAGCACGGGATAGTAGTCCGGCCGCCACTGACAGCAGGGCATGTGAGCAGTCTGAGTCTGGACATGCATGTGCCTACTGGGGGCCCAGAGACCCCGCCTGTTTTGTTGTATACTTTGTTGTTTGTCATCAGATCTGCTTGATGCCAGGCCCCCTCATGTGCCCTGTGCTTGTACACAGTAGGCACTCAGTCAGTATTTACCAGCTAATTGAGCTGTCACTTCACTAGCAGTGCCAGCCTTGTGTCACCTGCTTTGCACCTCTGGTTACTGAGACCTCGGCCATTTCTGTTGCTTACTACCCAACTGCTAGAGTGTGGAGGAGATGGGATGTACAGCAAGGAGATTCCAGATCAAACGAGAGTTCAGGACAGCTGTATGTGTTTGTCAGGGTTCTAGAAACACGGATACAGAGCCCCTCACAGAATACACAGTCCTTGCACACCCTTCTGTGCTTTACTCTTGGGGATGAAGTCGCACCTTATGACTGCAGCCAAGCTTCCAGGCAGTCAGTGCTTTGACAGACAGATGTTGCATGGCTTGGGGCTGAGGTTTTTAGGAGTATCAATCCTTAGTTCACAGCCACCGTGAAGGCTGCCGAGGACCCCGTAGCTTCTGCTCCAGCCCAACTGTGGGACTGGAAGTCTGGCTGGCCTTGATCCACCATGATCAGGCCAGTAGCAGGTCATGAGTTTGGGCAACAAAGGTCAATGCCATCAGATGCTCATTTTTGTGAGCAATTTGCTTCCCTCTTAGGGAGAAAGATTGCTAAAGTATTACCTGATTTTTTTGTTGTTCAAAAAGTTGGATTCTTTGATCTAATTATATCAGAGCCAAAGTATCTTATGAAAACAAAGCTTTATATCAAAAAATACACTTTTTCAAAATTCTCTAATCAATGTGAAGAGGGACAGAGGGAATGGGTAGGAGGGTGGGAGAAAAAGAGAAAAAAAGGATTTGGGTTCTTATTTATGACCATCTTGACGTATATTATGGTCAAAGGTGTCATTTTCCTACTCAGTTTAAATTCTGAGTTATTTCTTAAGCCTTAAATAATAAAGGAGCAATGGACAGCCTGTCCGGGCAAGGGTCCCCAGATGGCTTAATCTGAACCCTCATCACAGAGGAGTCAGAGCTGAGCTCCACTGAGCAGGGTGGTGGAGTATCCGGGGTCTTGGTTCTGTGAGCAGAGAGCGCCATTCTTTCTGTGGAATGGGACAGGGCCACCATGCTCACTAAAACGCGTCAGAGTGTGCCATTGCAGCAAATCTCGTACCCGTGTTCAAAATGCATGCCTAGCAGATTGCAGCCCTTTAAATTAAATGTGTGTAAATGAATGTACATAGAATATACTCTGGACTGCGAGGGGATCCTATTTTGATACACCTCCTGGCTGTGGATTGCACGTCAGGGTGCTCTGTGGGTGTTTTCAGTCATTCGGATTCAGTGTGTACGTAGAGACAACCTCCCTCCTTAAAGCTGGAGGGTGTTGATTGAGGCACCAAAAAGGTTCGTCAGGGGCTAGGGTTTGGGGGCAGCTGGGGCCTGCAAGTTGAGGCATCGCTAGCCTGCTCCATGAAATGTCCACGTCTTACCAAGGAGGAAAGTGTATCTTCCTGATACGTAAGCCAAAATTGTGGGTGTGTAGGTCATGCCAGTGTTTCTTTAACAGCAAGTCTGTTTTCCCAGTTGAGAGAGACAGCAGTACATTTCTGCACAAGAATATGTGGTGTTAGGCTCCATCTGCTCCAGTGTGTCTGGAAGAATGCTTTTGTTCCAGAGTGAAACCTGGGGAAACTTGCTGCCTTCAGCCAGACGCTGTGCGCTTGGTCCCCTGTTGTCTGTCTCTAAGAGGGTGCTTTGGGAAAGTGGTGTTTGTGGGTATCTTTTTAACCTTTCATAACAGGTCAGGTGAGAGGCAAGACCAAGCTATTTGAACTTATGTTTTTCTTATGCCCAGAAATCTGCTCTTTCATCAAACCACTAAACCACTTGCCTTAGCCTCTTCTGCAGTTTCTGGTGGCTTTGTGTCTGGGCAGGAGACCTCTGCCTGTGCGGAATGCCAGGCCCCCACGGCAGCAGGATCTGGCCTCAGGGAGCGGCAGGGTCTGGGAAAGCAGTGTCGCCTGTGTTGCCTGTGTCTACACTACCTGGCAAGGCCCCCCCACGCTGCCTACGTCTCCAACCCAGCAGGGCCCCTTGCACTGCCTGTGTCTATACCACCCAGCAGGGCCTCCCACTGGGCCATACCTCTACACCACCCAGCAGGGCCCCCTGAGCTGCCTGGGACTACACCACCCAGCAGGGCCTCCGGCGCTTCCCTCCATCTGTGACGTTGCTGCTTTGCCTTTTCTCCTCGGTGCTCCTGGCAAAACTGGAGTTGGAAATTCAGAACGACATGTCTTCTCCTTCAAGAGCACAGGTCCTGCCTCGTTTCCGCCTGGCACAGTTCTTTCACACGCCCTGAAGGCGGTCACTTAGAAACATCCATATCCTGCCATCCGTGTCATTTGCTTTTAAGATTTCTAAAAAACAAATGGACGGACTTCTTACTTCCAGGAACAAACTCTTAGGTTGGCACCAGCATGTGAAAAAGATCATAGCTGAATCTCATGAAAGATTGAAAACCAAAGGCTTCAAGACCAGTGTTGTAAAATGAAGAGGAATTTTACATATGTGTTACAGCTGCCAAGTTGTTAGATGTTCCTGTCACAGCTAGATGGTCACTGCCAGCCTTTCAGAGAGCAGATAGCAACAATTGTTTGCAGCTGGAATGTCACATCTAACCTTGGCGTATAGGCTTTTTATTTGGGGGGAATTTTTTGTTAATATGCAGGACAGCTGCCTGGCGGAAGGGAGGGTGGGAGAAGGAACTTCCTCTAGGGGCCTTGCCTATTGAAGCGGGTTATCTGGATTGTGGGTCCCAGGGGAGCAGCTTCATGGAAACCGTCTGAAGGCTTTCAGTCATTCCAGTGACAGAGCCCACCAGTTGGGAAAGGGCCTCGATGTCAGCCAGCCTGGTCTCCACATGGGTGCTGATATTCTACCTATACCCATCCCACCAAGGGGTTGAGCGGTCTGGACTTAAACCCCTCTGAGGACAGAGAACTCACTACCTCCTGGAGAAGCCTGTTCCATCTTTGTGAATCTCTGGCTTTTCTATGTTCTCTGTGATTTCTGTCTTAGTCTCTGCCCCACGGGGGCCACGTGGGACAAGTATTCTTGGCAAAGGACCTAATTGCTGGCACTGTCCCAGAGCACAGCGCTTGTCTTTTGGAAAGGAGCAGCTGGGACAGAGGCACTCTGGTGTCCTGACTTTCTTCCCCGGAGTATTGGTCTGCTTAGTTCCTTGTTGGAGAAGATTGAAGAAACCCCATCAGGCCGGTTATGCTTGTGTGCTCTTGCTGAAACAGGGGGAGTGGGGAGGGGGAGGAGGGGAGGTTATCGCCTAAACCCAATCTCAGGCAGATGAGGTCAGGTTCCATGCTGATCTCACAAAAACTGATGCTCACCACACCACGTAGGAAAAACTGCAGCTAGAAGATTTTAAGATAATATTGCTTTGTGTGGAGTAACTTCCATGGACACCGGGGCTTATGCCCTCGATTTCTGTAAGGACTTCTCCCAGTTTTTATTGGGAGCACAAAGCTTAAGGACTTGGGGGCAGGGTACTCTGTGTCTCAGTGTAAGAGAAGTGCCCTGTGTCCACACTGGAAAGTCCTTTAATGTTGCTGTTGTCCAGACATCCATTTTTAGAGAAACTAAAATTCAGGTAGATGTGCCTGAGTTCACATGGCATTATCAAAACTGAGCTCTTGGCCCCTTGACCCGTCCAGTGCTCTCCACGTTCTGTCTTGTAGGACAGCTCTACTCCAGCCCAAAGTAAGCTGCCCTCGGCTTCTTGAGACCTTGTAACTAAGCAGATTCCCAAGAAGTCCTGGCCCTCAGGGACTGTGAACCAACCTGCAGAACTCCAGGTGGAGGGAAATGGTTAGGCCAGTTGAGTTTGCAAAACACATGGGGCAGGGGGGAACAGATCTAGCCTGTCATTTAAGAACAGAGCTCAAAAGCCCCAGTGGGAGGTGCACTGTTGTCCTGGAATGTAAATTCTCATGAAGTGGGCAGGCCTGTGATCTCTGGTCAGATCCCGCTTCCTGGCGATCCTGAAGGTTGTGTCATTCGGCCCTGGCTCCAGGTTTCTGTTACCCAGCTGGTCCGGCTGAAGGGCAGGTGAGCTGACAGGGTCCTGGGGGACACGGTGCTTCAGGGTGCCTTCTCACTCCTTCTGCTGTAACTGACTGTTTCCAAGTTGAGGGTGGGAAGGAGAAGGTCCCAAGTGGAATTCAGCCCGCAGCAAGGAGAGCCCTGTTCCTGAGGCAGCTATGTCCGCAGTAGGCATCTCATCTAGCCTGTCTCTTCTGACACAGACCCTCATGCTGCCTCCACTCATTGAGCACATTTGCCAGTGACGGGAAGGGAGAGGACCCCCTTGTTACCGTGTTATATTTCTCATCTGCTATGCTCATCGGAGTGTATTTTGGGATATATGGGTTGTTTTTTTTCCCCATTTTGTAACTGCCTTATTGAAAAGTAAGTGCCCTTCCATTCCAGGCGTCCTCATATTGTACTTGTTTCCTGCCAAATTGGGGGGATTGTTTGTATTTTAATTTTGTAATCTATGGCTCTGTACTGTTGAAAGGCTCTCCATCCTGTGGGGTCTCCTTCATATGCATTGACTTTCCATGTTGCAATATCACAGATGGGATGGCCCGACTTTTGCTCTCAATAAACAATCTGAATGAGTAAGAGACACTCTGGCTTTCTATTGAGAATTCAGACGCTCTGACTTCCATACTTGGCCCCTGGCTGTGTGTTACAGTGACTGATGACAGTGGTC